TCTCTCTCTCTCTCTCTCTCTCTCTCTCTCTCTCTCTCTCTCTCTCTCTCTCTCTCTCTATCTCTATCTATCTATCTATCTCGCACGACAAATATACACCGTTTCCTTTATTCGAAAATTAGCAAGCTGGGATATCGTTGGGTCAAAGCAAACTCGAGCGATTCAAAGGGGGAACGGCTACGTCGATGCGATTCAAAGAGGGCAACAGGCGAGAGCAACCATGTGCGGTTTCGCATTTCATCCAATTATCGACTTGTCGTCGGCATTGCGTGCTCTCTTGAGTTTTACGTTACCAGAGATTGCATCTGATCGTTAGTAAAATATCCTTGCAAAGACTTCCCCCTTTTACCGTGTGTACTTACTTACCCTCTGCCCCCCCCCCTCCCACCTCCCCCTCCCTGCCGTTGCCAGGTTTCATTCGTCGTAATATTGCGCGTTCGAAAGTTGCGCGGACTTTTTTATTCGATAAAGGAAAAAGGGAAACCATTCGAGAAATTACAATTTACGAACTCGGCCCCCGGGCCGGAGTTCAGTTATTTACGTTGTAAATTGCTCGCAGTTCTCCCCGGGACTTCCAGTTTATTAAGTTTCCCGGTCTTGCTCTCAGTCCCACCGTCTCCTCCTCGTTTCCCGCCGCTTGCTTAAACACCGCCAAAGTTGCCCCGGACGACATTTAACAACCTCCTCTTTCTTTTGGGCATATGAAAAATGTCGAATCGAGTTTCGAAACATCGCCGCTGGCATCGCCGAAAGTCCACCATCGACGGAAAGTTGAAAAACAACTCCGTTTCTGAAAAATTGAAACGAAGTCGGCCCGTGCTCGTGACGAACTTCTACAGTATACTTTTCTTTTCTTCTTCTTCTTTTTTTTTTTTCCTTTTTCTTTTCGAGAGAAGAACTTTGAGGGAAAAGAGAGGGAGAAGCAGTGTGGGATTGCGCGAGCGTTCGCGCGAGCAAACCGGAAATCGATCGGCTGCGACGACTTCTGGCGACGCCTGTCGGCGCGTGTTCCAGCCAAGTCGCTTCCACGCGCTGGCCAATATCGACGTCCGATACGTTTTCCTTCGCGCGAAAGAAAATTTCGAGAGATATATATAATAAAAAAGCGTGAGCCCGTTCGTGGCTTCAACATATCTTTATTTTCTTTTCATACACGATTATAATTCTCGCATTTGAAAACTTACTTTCACGCGGAATATCCTCCGAATTTCAATAAACACATGCGAAACAAGCGAGTGGAAAGGAACAAACAATCCAAAAACGTTTCTTTATTGATGTGAATTGGATATGATTTATTAAAAGAATGAAAACGGTACAAAATATATAATACAAAAATTATGTCTACAAAATATATACACAAAAAGAAAAGAAAAGAAAAGAAAAGAAAAGAAAAGAAAAGGAACGGAAAGGAAAGGAAAGGAAAGGAAAGAAAACAGAAAGAAAATCAGAAAGTCGAATTTTTAAATTGAAATCGATTGAACAACGAAAAATTTTTTTCCCTTTTTTTCTCTTTTTTCACTGTGCTTGAATGAGAGGACGTGTGAAATGAAAAAGCGGAAATCGCAGAATCCCAGAGAAATAATACGAAAGCGGGCGTTCTCTGAGAGCCTACGTTTACCCAGGCTTTTCGGGCAGCCTGTTTAGGTATAATAGATATAATATATTTCATATAGTAACGTAAACAAGATAATGTTTTAATCTTTATACAAATATCTTTAGTACAAAAATGGTGCTCATTGGGCCAAGCACGGATTAAATAGATCACGGAGTTTCCTTTTTTTCTTACTTTCTTGATCTCCTTGACCAGACACACAGTCTCTCTCCCTAAGTGTCTTATACGTTTATAAGAATCACCGATTAGTTAACAGAAATGAAATTAGAGAAACGAGTCGTGGAGATAATCGTTAAATATCAAACATTTTCCTTTTCTTCATCTTTTTAATTTTTCTTCTTTTCATCTTTTCAATTTCTCCTTCTCCTTCCCATTTAATTACATGCAAAATATAATTTTCACGGCATCCTTACGTTACGAATGCGACTAAACGTACTTGCTAGGACGAAATTTTACGGAAAATTCGAGCCTTAAGGTACTTTGGACTAAAACTGTAATTGCAAGCGAACAACTTAATACGTCAAGTCGCATTCGTAAGTAGATACTTGCGGAGACTCTACTCTCATTTTTCACAAAAAGGGTCAGAAAAAGAAGAAGAAGAAGAAGAAGAAGAAAGAAGAAGAGATATTAAAAAGATGAAAAAGAAGAAAAAGAAGAAGAAATAGTAAAAACATGATGAAGAATAAGACGAAAGATACGTTTGGTCGCATCCGAAAAGCTTGAGGAAAGTTTTCTTCGACAAAATTCTTTTCTATCTAAAATTGTTTCGTTGGCTATGTGAAAGTTGTTTGTACCTATCGCCGTGACTTGGCAGTGAGACACGTCAGTTATTCGATTCAAATCGATCAATCGCACACCGTCAGAAAGCTGGTCCACCGTTTTTCGTTAGGAACGCGGGAAGTATCTCAGAACCGAGCATTCCTGTCCTCCAAAACGGCAGAACCTACGAGAGTTCCTCGACGAACTCACCGACGCACATACCCTGAATCCAGAAATCACATATCATATATAACCGATGTATATCGAAAGGCACTGGATCGATCTAATCACATTCGAAAAACTCTAGAAAAAAGAAAGACCACCAACTTTTTACCCTCGTACTGTTTCATTAAGATAAGATGCCGGTTGGACAAATTTTGTTGGAGACAGGTTTTTTTTTTTTTTTTTTACTCTAGAGTTTCCTTCCAATGAAATGTACCGATTTAATCTCTTTTAACGACAGGTTACTCGTTCATTATAAAGCTAGTCTCCAAATGCTTCTGGCGGAGGGACGATCGAGAATTAGCGCGTTTCGAGATCCACGATCGTCCGCTGTTGTTCCTTTCGACATCCAGTGTTATCTTTGATAGTCATACCTAGCAGGGTTGGTGTACACCGTAGCCTTTAACGTGATGGAGGACATCTGTGACACTTGGTTATCATTGTTGGGCGCTTGGTTTTCTGAATGATAAGTCCGAGTCGGAGTTTTGTTTCTTTTGTGTCTCCACATGTTGTGCAGCAGGAGGGAAGCTTTGCTGTGGTACGGCGGAAAGATGCTTCCGCTGGCGGGCGAATTCCTGGGACACCGACGACATTTCAACATTTTCAACCTCCTGGTCGATGGACTACAATACTTCTCCTTCAGGATGGCCATCTGGCTTTCAGGCTCCTCCGTCGCCTCTCCCTCCTTCTCCTGCTCCTCTTCCTGCTCCATCTCCTCCTCGGAACACATCAACTCGTCCTCGTCCTCCTCGTCCTCCTCGTCCTCCTCGTCCTCCTCGTCCTCCTCGTCCTCCTCGTCCTCCTCGACCTCTGTCACCTTTCTGGGTTGGCTTTGCTTACGGGATCGTCTCTGGATCCGACCGTCGGCTGGACAGGGAAGCTCGATCAGCAGCTCTGGAAACTGCTGGTTGCTCGGTCCAGGGACTGGCTGGTAGCTCGGTCCAGGGACTGGCTCGTAGCTCGGTCCAGGGACTGGCTCGTAGCTTGGTCCAGGTACTGGCTCGTAGCTCGGTCCAGGTACTGGCTCGTAGCTCGGTCCAGGTACTGGCTCGTAGCTCGGTCCAGGGACTGGCTCGTAGCTCGGTCCAGGTACTGGCTCGTAGCTCGGTCCAGGGACTGGCTCGTAGCTCGGTCCAAGGAATGGCCGTTTGCTCGGTCCAGGGGCTGACTGGTTGCTCGGTCCAGGGGCTGGCCGTTTTCTCGATCCAGGGACTGGCCGTTTGCTCAGTCCAGGGACTGGCCGTTTGCTCGGTCCAGGAACTGGCCGTTTGCTCGGTCCAGGGATTGCCTGGTTGCTCGGTCCAGGGATTGCCTGGTTGCTCGGTCCAGCGACTGGCTCGTTGCTTGGTCCAGGAACTGGCTCGTTGCTTGGTCCAGGAACTGGCTGATTGCTCGGTCCAGCGACTGGCTCGTTGCTTGGTCCAGGAACTGGCTGGTTGCTCGGTCCAGGGATTAACTGCTGGTAGCTGTGCGCAAAATCACGATTAAGTATAGTAGCAGTGGAACCGTGGCTGTGACAGCCGGTGCACGATTCGTCGTGTACGTGACGGTGGTCGTCGTGTTGCTCGATGCACGGCGAGCATACGGCGGTAAACGAGTCGAGGTCGCGTCTCAGTGTCTCGGTCTCGTGGTAATCGACGGCCTGGTCGGCGTTGCGTTGACGTTGGCGTCGACGACGACAGCCGCCGTGGTCGTTGCCGTGCTGCTCGTGCCAGCTCGACCGCCTCTCCTCCTCCAACGTTGGGTACGCCATTGTCGCTGCAGTTGCAGGGGAGTTTACCATCTCGTGGCTGCAACCACCGCGGCACTGTTCCATAAGTTACGTTCGCGTCATTTTTCTACCAACGAACGAGTGCTCGTCGACCGTGCGACGAGACGACGAGAGACGTTTTTCTTTTTTTTTTCTTTTTGGTTTCGTTGTTGCATGTTTTTTTTTTTTTTTTTT